GCTTGATAATTGGCTTGAATTTAATAACACAATCGCTTGATAATTGGCTTGAATTTAATAACACAATCGCTTGATAATTGGCTTGAATTTAATAACACAATCGCTTGATAATTGGCTTGAATTTAATAACACAATCGCTTGATAATTGGCTTGAATTTAATAACACAATCGCTTGATAATTGGCTTGAATTTAATAACACAATCGCTTGATAATTGGCTTGAATTTAATAACACAATCGCTTGATAATTGGCTTGAATTTAATAACACAATCGCTTGATAATTGGCTTGAATTTAATAACACAATCGCTTGATAATTGGCTTGAATTTAATAACACAATCGCTTGATAATTGGCTTGAATTTAATAACACAATCGCTTGATAATTGGCTTGAATTTAATAACACAATCGCTTGATAATTGGCTTGAATTTAATAACACAATCGCTTGATAATTGGCTTGAATTTAATAACACAATCGCTTGATAATTGGCTTGAATTTAATAACACAATCGCTTGATAATTGGCTTGAATTTAATAACACAATCGCTTGATAATTGGCTTGAATTTAATAACACAATCGTCGGTTTACTGAAAAGTGCAATATTTTAATTGAAATGGAAGCCTCTGAACATCATAGAAACATTTGAGAAAATATTTTGAAAAGAGGGTTTTAAGGTCTAAAATAGTTTGGGCAAAAAAATGTGCAAAGGTTGGGATTAAAGTTCAAATTCCATACTTTTATATACATGATTCATACCTAGATCCGATTAAATTTGCATCTTTGGGCTTTAATTGATAATTACATGATTTTGTGCGCTATCGCATGTTTTGCAACATGTCATGTTTTAGAAGCTGAATCTTTAGAATCATTCTTATGTATGTAGTGCATTAGGATTTTGTATATAGGATCATGCATATTTTACTATTTTTTTTTTGTAGCTGTTCGCGAGACGTCGGTAAATATGTAAGTTGTTCTGCTTTAAACCTAAAGCCTTCACATTTTTTCTAAATAACAAATTGACCCCAAACAAGTACCATTATATATATACACTTGTACCCTAAAATCTATTTTGTATACCATACTTTACAATTTCCAACAGTTGTACACAAAAAAAATAATAAAATAAGTCCCTCAAATCACCATCTATGGCCGGCCATTACCTATATAGATACAATGAGTGTACTTTTGAGCCAAACTTGCATGAATTAAGGAAAAAATCTTTGACCTTAGGTACAAACATATATATATATATATATGTATATATGCATTGTACTTGTAACTAGGTTGGTTTGATTAAGATAAAACCCTAACTAGATTATGCTTAGGTACTCAATTAAGACCTCTAATCATTCACTATCCCATTAAGTTCCAAGTAAATCCAAAATACCCAATCCATTTCCAACCAATGGGCAATATGGACCTTTTACACCAATTTTATTATAAAAACACCACTACCCTCCACATGTTACACATCTCATACACTCACACACCTACATATTCGGTTGAGAGAAATAAAGAAGAAGAAGAGAGTGAACTTTGGTAGTGGAGGAGGGGAAAAGAGAAGAAAATTGTGCATGCACTTCACCTAACACCAAGTAAGCCACAACGCAACTCTCTCATTTATTTTCCTTTTTACAAATACATGTTATTAGAGTCTTGAAACTATATTTTCAGAAGTGTTGTAATGGTGTTCATGTGTTCAAAGTTGATGAATTGGGCTTTAATCATTTTTCTATTCATATTTCCTCTTAATCGATGCAAAGCCACCTTTTTCTTTCCATATCTCCCATTATTTCCAAAGGCATACCATCACTCTAAAAATCTGAGTTATTGATATATTATTTAGTATGTTTTCATCACAAAAGAAGTGGAAAATTTCCCTTAGTTGGCCTATTTTCTCACCAACCTTCTTATTTTAAGTATTGTGCATAAAAACCCTATTTTACAGCCAAATTTTGAAAATTCTATTTAAATGTTGAAAAATATGATGGACTTTGAGTTTATGTCAAAATTTTCCTCAAAGAGTTATCTTTCAAGAAAAATTGGTTTCCTCGAAAAATAGTGAGCGGTTTGTGAGAAAATTCGATTTTCGTAACGGTTGACTAATCTGGACAGTGTTGGAGTGTTTCTTAAATAACTAAAAATCTAGAAAAGCTATTTTGTTTCTGAAACGTGTTCTGAAAATTAGATTAAATTCTCTACAAACATAGGAAGGCCAAGTTTGGGAAAAATCTGAAATAGCCCTTTTGAGTAGAATCTTTAGGTAGTATGGAATTTGGAAATTCTGTTTTCATTGGTGTTTTATGCTCGTCTTCATGAATGAGCCTATTAACATATGGTCATGTCTTGGTATGAGATTACATATGTAATGGTTATGTACCTTTTATTTTAGTCCTTCGATGGTGCTCACACTTATGTAAATTTAGAAATTTATATTCTTGTGCGAAATTATTTCCTTAACTACTTGAATATGCCTAGAGCTACTTGTGCGTATCTTGATATATGAATCTCATGTGTTGTAACTTTATTTCCTTCCATTTGTGCTATGTAGTTGTTCATAATTGTGCAATAGATATTGTTTCAAGAGCATGTGCTAACTCTGACTTAAATTATCTAATTCAAACTAGAAACTTAATGGGTGGTAATGGGTTTGCAAATTTTTGGACAAGTTACTAAGATATTGATTAGTTGACGGGATGCATTCCCTATTTGGAAGTTAAAGTCTTGTGCAAATGGTTTTCGAAACCATTGAACGGAGCGGTTGTATTCGGACCCTAAGTATTTTGGTGTAAGGAGGGTTTGGGCAAGGTCTATTATTATCGTCTCTTTTGAGGCCCTACAGTTGGCGCTACGCAGTATATAACCGTTGGTAGGCATCCGAGGTAAGTTCTGCAATAAAGCAACAAAAGAGGAGGCATACCGAATAATCCGCGTCCGACTCTTGTGGTTGGGATGACGAAGTCTCTTTAGGGGATTTCTAGTTTACTGACAACTAACCTTTTAACCTTTGTTATCCACTTAAATGTTAGGTTTCTTTCTCCATTGTTGCAAATGCTATTGTGTATTGAATTGGGAAAAAGGGGACGGGGTGTGTGTCCGTTTACTTGGCATTCAAAGCTCATGGCGTTTCATACCAGGTATTGAAGACTATTAGACCGGTCGAAGACAAAGCTGAAGCATTTGAGGATGTATGGCTACCCTAGGAGGATTATAAACTAGTTTGTAAACGTGTTTTGAGATTCTAAGTGATAGATCCCATGTTGTATTTAAGACATGATTTTGTAATTATTATATATATATATATATATTTTTATACTACCTATTCCTTTTTTTATCGTCGACTCATGTAGACCTTATGTTAATATCTTATTAAGATCTATCAAAATGGTAGCTTTGCTATCTAAGGTGATTGGACTTTGAAGGGAGACTATATTGACTCCTCCGACCTTCCTGGGATCTTACTTGGTTACTAACCAAATGACTCATTAGTAACGTTTCCTATTTTGTAATCTTAGATAAACACTGTATTTATTTGTTAATATATTATCTGATATTCCCGATTTTTGGGGCGTCACAACTTGGTATCAAAGCCTAGATTCAATCCTTTCCCACGCATTTCAACCTGCGGTTAGAGACTACTTTACCCCGACTATGTTATATTATTATAACACTACCTATTCTATCAACTAAAAGACATCAAAAATAGAAATTTTCTTGACGTACCTTAGGGCATTTCTTCGAATTTAGGGCATAGCAACATCAATTAATAAGGACGTATTTCAAGATCAAGAAATGGTTTTAACTCTAGACAGGGCCTCACATCGTGCAGTTGGGGTACTATTAGTTCTACACGTCTTCTATCGATCCCCATACCCTTATCTTGAATTCATAACCTTTATTCGATGTCATCATTTTCCAAGATTAAGTCATGTCCATCTAGTTCTATTTTATATACTATTATTTGTAAAATTGACCTCATTTGAACCTTGGTTATTTTATTTAGCCTACGGCTTCTTGTAAATAATTTCATTTTCTTTACTTGGTAACGAATCTTGGATATTCAGTTTGAAACACAGACAGCCAACGCAGTTTCAAGTTAAATATCTAATTTAGTCATTACCTTTATAACCTTGATCACATTGAAATTCAAAACCACAATATCATACCGTTCATCCGTATTTCAGTTGACCTTGATCACAATAACCACTTCGTATTATTCATCTCCACTTTGTATTAATCTAATTTTAAGAATCTTGTAATTATTATATATATGAAGTTGTGTTGTGTGAACACCCTAGGATAATTAAACTCTAACTTAAGATTAGTTGATTACCCATAAGGAATTGCCACTACAACAAAAAGTGTATTTAGAGACAAAAACTAATGATGGAAATAAATTTTATCATGAAATACGTACATTTTAATGATGAAAATAATATTTCGTCTCCAAATGTACCATTTTTAGAGACAAAAGTAAAATTTCATCTCCAATCTACATACATAATAAAAAAATTAGGTGACGAAATTATTTTTCGTCATTATTTATATTTTTTTTGTCACCAAAGACTTTCCTGCTATTTTTTTCGGAGGGTGCCAAAATTTTGAGACTTTTGGTAAGGAAAAAATTGGTCACCAATTATAACATAATTAATGACAAATATATTTTCGTCACCAATAATATTTAATATTTTGATATCATTTAGTGAGGAAACTATTTTCGTGGACAATATTTTCATCTTTAGTGAGAAAATAATTTTGTCACTAATAAATAGTTTAGTTGCTAAATATTTTAGAGGGAAATTAATATACAGCGTGTTGGGGACCCCCAGTTGGGGGTGACCCCCAACACCCCCACTCCACGTGGGAGGCTGTGGACCAAGTAAAAATAAAAAAAAAAAAAAAAAAAAATTCAACCAATCACGTGCTGCCACATCAGCTGGGGTCACTGGGGTCTTCAAAATTGGGGGTGCAAATCATTTTTCATTAATATATTGGCGCCTTATAGAATTTTTCTTCTTCTCACACAGATACATCGATCAGTTCTACCTCTCACACAGATGTTCGACCACCAAACCTCACCCTACATCACCTCACATCACCTTAGCGCAGACCACCAACGTCGCCACCGCCATTGCCACTGCCACCGTCGCATTCTCACAGGTACTCTCTCACTCTCGGTCTGTCTCTCTCTCACTCGCGGTTTGTCTTTCTCTCTGTTTCTCGCTCTGTCTACCTCGGTCACTCTCTCTCCCTCTCTGTCCCCCTTTCTCTATTTCCCCTTTATGAATCTTGCTCTAGGGTTGTTATGATTTGTTCAATTTAAATTGGTATTGATTACAAAAAATGGGTTTGGTTGAAGTGGTTTATTTCTCCCTTTCTGAATCTGTTGTTTCCCTCTTTATATTTAATGTTTTTTATCATCAATTTCTACATCTAGCTTTGATATATAATGCTTGTGTTTGTTATTGAATTAGATTCTAGCTATAATAATTTTCTTACTCTTTAGAAATTGTTATTTCACGGGTGAAGTAGATATCATCTTCATTCTTTATTGAAGCAGATTTCTGCAGACATTTTTTCTTATGTAGTAATTTTGACTGCACAATTCTATAGAGAGCTTAAGTGGTTATTTGCAAATCCTTGTGGTTGCATATAAATATATATGAATTGTTGTCAATTGGTTTTCTTCCCTATATTCCATTTGTGAAATACTGAAGATTGCAGAAAGATATGCATGTCTGGGTTGGTTGAAAATTATTTCCTATGTCAAAATGACTACTGAATGAAGGAATTGGGCTTCCGGCTTCCTCAAAGAAAAGGTTAGTTGACTCAACTTGATGACAAAGTCATTTGCACCATGTTAATCGGTGTCATTTTTTCAGATTTCGTGAGTTTCTCCTCTGTTTTGCAGTATGCCTTACAGGTTTGTTCAGTTATAGAGAATTGTAGATAAAAAGAATGATTGTTATTGTTTTGATCTTTAAATTTCAATTGCTTGGTGCATGAATGTGATACAATTGGTAATTTTCTTCTTTGGGTAGTACCAGTTGTACACAAGTATTATAATTAGTTTTATGATTTAGCTGATGCATTATATGATTTTAGTTTATGAGCTTATTTCAAATCATATATTATGCATGAATAGTGCAAATTTTGAGGTGAAAGATTTTTATTTATATTGCATCTTTGAGTTACTTTACCACAGGTCTATGCTTGAGGACATGCCCACCAATTGTTTGGTTAAATTTCTCAATGCCTATTATCATGTCAAACTATCCTATTAAATGGTGCTGGGTCAATACTCTTGGGGGCATAATCGAAAAGCTACTATCAAAGATAAGATGGAAACAAAAGAGCTTATACAATGGAGGTTGAGGAAGAGGAAGAGGGGACAGATGATGATGAGGAGGAGGAGGAAGAGGATGAACTTGAAGCAAAAGCTTTGAGAAAGAAAACAGAAAACGAAAAAGGGGAAAGATTTACTATTATATGTATTTTTTGTTGTAATTCATTTGATTAGCAACTTACATATTTCATGTTTATTATTGAACAGCACTTTGAGCCATCAGAAGTTGGTATGCTAGCTAGGTGCTTGTGCATTCCATTTGTTTCAATTCGTGTTGGGAAGATCAACAAGCAAGGGACTCTCTTGTGCCCAACAGGTACAAAGTAATTACGTATAATTCTATACTGGTTTGTGTAACTCAATGGTTGGTAGGTTGCATATTGTAACTTAAATTTTGTTAGTGGATTTTATTTGTATCTCAACTTTGGTGTGGTGACATGGCTATTGGTTTTGTTTGGGTTTTTTTTTCTGCTATCATTTGACCTGTTGATTGGTTCACCCTGGGGAATTGTGTATGACGCCACAACAAAAGTATTTTAATGTTCTGATGGAATTGGAATTTTAAGTTTGGGACACATTTGTTCAATATAGCTATAGTTATAGTTTATCCATTCCTCACGTTAGGTATTAGCATTCCAGTGAACCCAACATATCTCTCACTATTTATTCAATTTGCTTTTTGAATTCCTTACTTACACCTGTCTCTAATCCTGTTCTCTGACCTCACAGCATAAGAACGTCTCACTCTATTAAAAATCTGATCATGCTTGTCACCACCATCCTGCACAAACTTTCCTTGCATATATCTTTTTTGGGTGAATAACCTTGCAGATATCTGTAATCACTTCCCTTTACTTTCTCAGAGCCAACTCCTTTGTCAGTTGTCACTACATTAAAGATAGTTGCTTAGTCCATCAAGCAAAATATGATTACTCTTTGACAGGCTAGAATAGTGGAGCAAATTGCGTGGTTCATAAATTACAACTTGGTTAATGTGTAGATGCTATCCTGTAGAACTTGAATGGAGGAAAGATTGAACTTCCTTTTGGTAGCAGGAACTGTATCATGAGTTACATGCCTTGGACAGATTTGAGCAAGATTATCGACACAAGCAACAAGAAGAGGACAACTCAAATGCTTCTCAAAGAGGTAATTGTGCCCGTAATTCATGCAGCTTTCTTTTAATCAATCTAGTTTATCTATTTTGTTTTAACATGCTGAATCTATTTTAAATAATGCAAAATGATTTTTTAGATTCTGGTCTCTGTGTATTGAAAATTGAAATCTTAGAGATGTGCGAAGGTTATAATACCTATGTTGTGTTGTTTAGAATTGCTTAATTATGTATAAAAGACATAAAAAACTGAGCTTCCACTTGTAACTTGATGATCACTTGATGTTGCTTTGATTATCATTGGTGCACTGATCTTAATTAATATAGCAACACTGTTGACTTTTGTTGATTCGATTGAGAAGTTTAAATCAAAAGTGGTATGTGAATGCTAAGATTGATGTGTACACTCATAAGATTTGTCTATGGAAAAAAGTGGCTAATGAATGATTGCTAAGTAAAATGTGGATAGAAACTTATCTTCCTAAGTTGTTCTTCCAAACCAATATCATGACTAATTCCATTGTCACTAAAAGAAACAGAAAAGGAAAAAAAATGATGTCTTGAGGTTTTTTGTTATAAAGCTACCAAAGATGGTAGAATATGTATGTTTTCAACTATTTGGCAGAATGAAAACTTTCCGAGTAATTACTTCCCAACCAAAAAAGGTCGTAGTTTCTTATATGTCATGCGTTTTGGAAAAACTATAGCTATAATAACAAGGAGGTAGAGATACCTGATGTGAGGAATGGATACAATGACCTAAATGGCTTGTTTTCTTTTTGGTTTGGAATGGATAACCATGAACAATATTATAAAGAAAATATTATACAAATTAACAATATATATATATATATATATATCAAGAAAAGAATGTTACTGTTAAAAACTCCCATTTTGCTGGAAATTAATTTTGTTCTGCTGATAGGCAAGTGGATCTAATCTTCTATTATAATTGGTTAAAATAAAGGGGATGGATTATTTAGTATAAGACAATAGATTCAATACTTTAATAAGCAAGGGATGGAAATTAATTTTGTTCACCTACTTCCTTTTTTTGTATGATCCTATCCTTGATCTTGATACAATAGACTTGTAATAACTAAAATATGATATAATTATAGTTTTAGTATGTTTGACTACCAGAAAATATATAAAATCAGAAAACATGTCCAGAAAGTTATCCAAAATATTGATGTGTGCTTTTGATTCAATTCTATATGATGGGATCCACACTTGAAATGAATCTCAGCCATCCAATGCTTGTTTCTGGGTACCTAACATTGCTATTTGACTACTGTAAAACTTTTAAGTTATGTTCATGTAGAAAAAGCCTAAACACTTGCGTAAAGTAGAAAACTACTTCATCATTGTTTAGTTTGTACATTATGACTTTAGGATTCACTTTTGCCTGGTTTTTGTTACTTCATTAATTTTTGTGCTTAGCTAATGCTTTCTCTTTCATGTCATCTTGGTGGCCCTTAAATTTTCAATGATTATAATGGTTTCACCTCTTATCAGCATCTTCATCTTTAAGGGTTGACTTTAGGATTATAATGTCATCTTGTTCTTGCTTTGTTCTCACTCTGTGAAGCATTTTATGTTATTTTATTTATACCTTTTTCGCCATGTGATTCACGTTCAATTGGAGTTTGGTATAATTAAGGTTTATTGATTTATTTAGGTAATCATGATTTCATCTAAGGACACCCCTGTGCCAGGAAATTTAAAAAAAAAAAAAAAAACCATCATCATGTATTCTGACTGGTTTAGAAATTGTTCAGTGCTTATAATGAGATATGCTCTTTGCAATATGAACTAAAGTTAGTGTTGCTTCAACTATGTCCATTTGTAGTTTTGCTTATCAAAAATCATGTCTCCATTTTCAGTGTGTACTATTAGGTGCTATCCCATTCTCTGCCGATGTTGAACGGTTGAAAGATCTTGGTGTTTATGAAGTAATCACCTTAACTGAGCCATATGAGACTTTGGTTCCAAAATCTCTATATCAAGTGAGTTTTTGTTTTTGTTTTGTTTTTTTGTTTTTTTTAACTTGTGCATTTTTTTACAGCTTGGCATGCTTTGTTATCTGAAGTGCATCCATTTGTTTTACTAAGTGCACTAATTAAAGGTTGCTTTTGAAGTGCATTCATTCCCAGACTTATTTGAGAAAGTAATTCTTTTTGGCCTTTCACTCCATCTAGAATCTTGTTGGGTATTTTTGATTTGATGGAATGTGAGCTTTACCATATAAGTCTAAGGGAGATAATTTTTTTTTTTTTTTAATCTTTTTTTGATTAGTTTTCTAACATATGAATGTTATAGAGATGCATAAACTATTTTACGTAGAGGTTCGAACGCAGTTACTAGACGGATGATATTGAGATGCATAAACATCACAAACACTGAAATATGCACGTGGCTACCAATTTGAAAACTGCTTTGAAATTTGCACTATTCTAACATGCAGGCATGAACTTAAGTCGAAAAATGCACTTTTCTTACACTTAAGCTTGAAAATAGGCCATATGGGGCAAAAAACGTGTAACAGTCACGAGAAGGTTTGAGGAACAACTCAAACACCTCAGGAGGTACCAATATAAGTTGTGAAAACTTACAGAACTAGCATGAGACTCTCGGTTTTGAAAACTAAGTTGAAAAATGCACTTTTCTCACACATAAGCTTGAAAATAGGCCATCGAGGGCCAAAATCGTGCAACAGTCACGAGAAGGCCTGGGAAACACCTCAAACACCTTGGGAGGGACCAATGTAAGTTGTGGAAACTTATGGAATTAGCACAGGATTCTTGGTTTGAAAACTAAGTCGAAAAATGCACTTTTCTCACACTTAAGCTTGAAAATAGGCCATATGGAGCAAAAATCGTGTAACAGCCACAAGACAGCCTGGGAAAAACCTAAAACACCTCGATAGGGACCAATGTAAGTTGTGGAAACTTACGGAATTAGTACGGGACTCCCGATTTGAAAACTAAGTTGAAAAATGCACTTTTCTCACACTTAAACTTGAAAATAGGCCATATGGGGCCAAAATTGTGTAATAGTCATGAGAAGGTTCGGGAAACAACTCAAACACCTTGAGAGGCACCAATGTAAGTTTTGGAAACTTACGAAACTGGCATGGGACTCCCGGTTTGAAAACTAAGTCGAAAAATGCATTTTTCTCACACTTAAGCTTGAAAATAGGCCATCGGTGGCCAAAATTGTGTAACAGTCATGAGAAGGCCTGGAGAACACCTCAAACACCTCGAGAGGGACCAATGTAAGTTATGGAAACTTACAGAACTAGCATGGGACTCCCAGTTTGAAAACTAAGTTGAAAAATGCATTTTTCTCACACTTAAGCTTGAAAATAGGCCATTGGTGGCCAAAATCGTGTAACAGTCATGAGAAGACTTGGGGAACACCTTAAACACCTCGGGAGGGACCAATGTAAGTTGTGAAAACTTACGGAACTAGTACGGGACTCCCGGTTTGAAAACTAAGTTGAAAAATACACTTTTTTTCACATTTAAGCTTGAAAATACGCCACCGGGGGCCAAAATCGTTAAACAACCACGAGAAGGCCCAGGGAACACCTCAAACACCTCAGAAGCGACTATTGTAACTTGTGTAAACTTACAGAACTAGCACGGGACTCTTGGTTTGAAAACTAAGTCGAAAAATACACTTTTCTTACACTTAAGCTTGAAAATGGACCATATGGGGCCAAAATCGTGTAACAATCACGAGAAGGCCTGGGGAACACCTCAAACACCTCGAGAGGGACCAATGTAAGTTTTGAAAACTTACGAAACTAGCACAGGGCTCCCGGTTTGAAAACTAAGTCGAAAAATATATTTTTCTAATACTTAAGCTTGAAAATAGGCCATCGTTAGCCAAAATCGTGTAATAGTCACGAGAAGGCCCGGGGAACACCTCAAACACCTTGAGAGGGACCAATATAAGTTGTGGAAACTTACGGAACTAGCACGGGGCTTCCGGTTTAAAAACTAAGTCGAAAAATGTATTTTTTTCACACTTAAGCTTGAAAATAGGCCATCAGGGGTTAAAATCGTGTAACAGTCACGAGAAGGTCCGGAGAACACTTCAAACACCTTGCGAGGGACCAATGTAAGTTATGAAAACTTACGGAACTAGCATGAGACTCCCGGTTTGAAAACTAAGCCGAAAAATGCACTTTTTTCACACTTAGGCTTGAAAATAAGCCATCAGGGGCCAAAATCATTAAACAACCACGAGAAGGCCCGGAGAACACCTCAAACACCTCGGAAGCGACCATTGTAACTTGTGTAAACTTACGAAACTAGCACGGAACTCCCAGTTTGAAAACTAAGTCCAAAAATGCATGTTAAATTGTATATTTAATTGATAAGATAATAATTGTCTAACTTGTATTCTTTTTTTCTTTTTTCTTTTTTTGTGTTTTGTTTTGTTGCAGATTTGAGATTAAATATGGACATGTTTGGTAATCTGGAGAGCATTACAGGATATGTTTGGTCATTCACACTTGATATTATATTTTTGTGGATATTAGTAGACATGTTTTTTATGAATATTAGGAGACGTGTTTGGTAATCCGCATGCGGTTAATATTGTATTTTTGTGGATATTAGTAGACATGTTTTTTATGGATATTAGGAGACAGGTTTGGTGTTCCGCATGCAGTTGATATTGTATTTTTGTAGATATTGTGCTGAAATTCGACTGTGGTGTTTATGAAAATGAACAGATTTTTTTTTATTGATTTTTAATAGATATTTTATTGAACAGGTTATTGAAATGCGCAGGGAATTTTTAGTGAAGAGAAAATTTTTAAATTGAAAATCATTTAAATTTTTTTTAATTATTATTAGCGACAAAAAAATGTCACTATTAGTTTTCAAACAACATGACGAATAATTTTGTCACTAATAATATAGTGCCAAACAAACAATTTCGTCACATTTGCTGAATATTTCTGGTGACAAAATATTTTTTGTCATTGAGGAATTTTTTTTAAACTCATTTTAATGACGGATTTTTTTGTCACCTTAATCTATATCATTGGTGAGGAAAAATTTCGTCACTAAAACCTATTTGGTGACTAAATATTTCGTCACCAAAACAATTAAAATAAAATATTATCTAATTCTAGTGACGAAATTGATGTTATAGAGGACGAAAAATGAAACATTTGGAGAAGAAAAATTTCGTCGCCAAAAATGAAAAATAGGTAACGAAACTATTTTTCGTCACCAGCTACTTTCAGCGACAACGTATAAGCGACAAACATGATGACAAAATTTTTTCGTCACAAATCACTTTGGTGATGAAAATTTGATATTTGGAGACAAAATCAGTCTGTCACCAAAGGCTTTTTTTGTTGTAGTGTGCCTCTGTAGCTAGAATTCAACTTACACCTCTTCCCATAAAAAGAACGGCAAATGGTAGACCATACTCCGAGAAAAATAATAACACGAGCTCGCAAGCAACAATAGGAGTGTGGTACCAGAAAATTGAAATCTTAAGAATGGACTAGTAACCGTGGTCGAAATCCTGAACCCTATCAAGAATCAAATTCTAGAGGAGTCTTACCATCTTTGTGGAAATAGTTGACATAACATTGGCTTCAGAATGAGAGGAGGTAGAATCCAAGAGGATTTGGAGCTAGCGGAAAAGAAACCCAACTTTATGAGGATCCAAAAAAGAGCAACTGAAAGAATACAACACCATATTCCAAGACAGAAAGGGGCAAGAATTATACGAAAAGAAGTCAAGGATAACTATTTAAGGGAAAAAGGACCAACGAACACTAAAGATCAAACCATATTAGCACCTTATGTGAGGCATAGACAAGAATAGATGGATATGAGTAATGACTAACTTAGGGAAGATGTAACTACGAAATGATTGTACGATTAATTTTCAATTCTCGAGACGTGAAGATACTCTACTCCGACCTTATCTTAGAAATAGATTTGTTACTCGTACCTTAGCTATTATCGATAGTTACCAATATAAGGAGACGATTTACCTATCCAATGGAATGCTTTTATTATTTAAGGGGGATAAATTAATTTTCATGATTCAACAAATCAACAAGACCAATAGCGACTCTAGACAGAATGAAGAAGAACTTAAGAGGAGAAGATGATCTAAATGATTAAGAATACATTGGCAGCACTAGGATGCAAATGCCCACAACATTTGAAATATGAAGAATGACTGAAAATTTCGAGGACGAAATTTATTTAAAGGGGATAAATTGTGAGACCTTTAACTTTTGTAAACCCTATTAAGTCCCTAAATTTTGAGTTATTATAATAAAGTCCTGAGTTCTTCGTTTATTCACAAATTTAACCCCAAAATTGAAGACGCATCGTAAATGAACCCGTACGAACCCTAATCGGCTCCGATAGCTTAGTAATCATTTCTACACACTAATATTAATTATTTAACTATGAAGCCCCTAACCTTGTAATTTTATTTTGACCCTTACTTTTGAACTATTTCAATAGAGACCCTCAATTCCTTATTTGTTTTCAATCTTAGCTATAGAGTCGAAAACGCGCACCAACTAACAACTCGCAAATCTTGATTGAATCTAATAACTCGGGAACGATTTCTAAAACCCTAATAATAATTAAATTAATTTTCTAAATATATTTTTCACACAGAAACCCTAGGTTTCCGGTTCTCAGTACAATTCACCGTTTAATTCAAAACAAAGAAATTTTAACCGAATTAAATTCCCAAATTCTAAATAAATACTACACTTAGTTAAATATTCAAATTCATAATCTAAAGCTTTGGCCCTCATGTTTTTTTTTGAATCACATTTTAACCCCCAAACTGGTACCTTTATATACATATATGTAACCTTAATCAGTGGCGGAAGGAAAGAAGGACGAAGGGGGTCACGTGCCCCCCCTCAATTTTGAGAATTTGTGTATGTGTGTGTGTGTGTGTGTGTGTTGTTATCATATACAAAATGTTTTTTTTTCTTAACATGTTTTTTGGTTAAGGATTTATTGTGTTGTTTACAACAAGTAGTTATTTGATACTTTGAGAGCACTATGTGGTATTATTTATGTAATAGTTTAAACCAATAGTATAGCGAAAAATCTTATAGATTGGATGTAATGAGCTCATTATTTTCAAGCAGTTGATAGACTGCTTAGTGATATTTGTGATTTCTCATGCTTTGAGCATCACGTAGGTAATACTATATGATATTCTAAGATTGTTTAATAATTTTCATTCAAAACACATCATTTATAAGTAATGTCATTTTTTTAATATTTTTCTATCAAATAAAAATTAATAGATTTTATAATAATTTGTGCTATGTGTTTTCATTTTCTAAAATTAAGAATTTTGATCCATAATTTTTTGTGCTAAAATTACAAACTTACATCACCATCTTGCACCAAGCTATTCTACACTATTATAGAATTTTAATTTGTTCCTATTAATAATGAATATGTAATTTTTTATGCTTAAATTTAGCTCATAAAATTATTATTATCTTAATGTTCACCATGATTTTTTTTTTGAATAAAAAATTATAATTAATAGTGCCCCTCTAACTCAATTTCTTGGCTCCGCCACTACCCTTAATCATATTCAATTCTTTTTGTACACAAAATTTATAATAAATATATTCCTTTGTACACAAAATATAAATAAAAATCTCCTCAAATAATCCCCATGTGGCCGGCCACCCTAGAAGCTACATATATGTAATGTACTAAGTGGGACAAATTGCTAAAATCATGGGATATGTCTTTGACTTTGGTACCAATTTGTACATATAAGATTTGTACTTGTAACTAGATTAAATTAAATTAGACCTAAATCTAGCTAGATCATATTTAAGTATATAATTAAGGTCCTAATCACCCCTTATTCCATTACATTGAAACTATATCAAAGAACTATTCAATTGAATTGGAACCAAAGGCAAAATAGGCTTTTTTACATTTTTTTTTCTCTATAAATATACCACTTATCTCTACTTTTTGAACACATACACACTCACACACTCAACCCACGGGTGGAGAGAAGAAAAACAAAGAGGGAGAGAGCTTGGTGGAGGAGGAGAGGAAAGGAAAGGAAAAAAAATTGTGCAATCAACCTATCTAAGCACCAACTAAGCCACAACACAACTCTCTTTTATTTTTCTTTTTCAAATACATGTTATTAGAGGCTTAACTAATATTTTCAGATGTGTTGGAATAGTATTCATGTGTTCAAAATTGATGAATTGGGCTTTAACCATTCTTTTATTCGTATTTCCTCTTCATAGATGCAAAACTATCTTTTTCTTCCCATATCTCATATTTTTTTTAAAGGCATACCATCACTCTAAAAATCTGAGTTATTGGTACATTATTTAGTATGTTTTCATCACAAAAGAAGTGGAAAATTTTCCTTAGTTGGCCTCTTTTCTCACCAATCTTCTTATTTTGTGTATTGTGCATAAGAAACCCCGTTTTATAGCCAACTCTCGAAAATTCTAGAAAAATGTAGAAATCTCTCTTGGACTTTAGTTTTATGTCAAAATACTCCTTAAGGAGTTAGCTTTCAAGAAAAATTTGTTTCATCGAAAAAGAATAAACGGTTTGTGAGAAAATTTGATTTTTGTAACAGTTGACGAATCTGGACAGCGCTCATGAGTGTTTCTTAAATAACTAAAAATCTAGATAAGCTATTCCATTTCCGAAACATGTTCTAAAAATTAGATTAAATTCTCTACGAACCATAGGAAGGCTAAGTTCAGGAAAATCTACGATAGCCCATTTGATTTTAATCTTTGAGTAGTACTAAATCTGGAAATTCTGTTTGGCATTGGTATTTTATGCTCTTGTGTTCATGAATATGCTTGTTAATATATGAACATGTCTTGTTATGATATTACATATGTCATGGGTGTATACCTTTTATTTTAATCCTTCAATGATGCTCATACTTATGCAAATCTGGAAATTTATATTTTTGTGCGCAATTATTCCCTTAACTACTTGAATATGCCTAGAGCTACTTATGCCTATCTTGATATGTGAATCTCATGTGCTATAACTTTATTTCCTTCTATTTGTCCTATGTAGCTGTTCATACTTGTGCAATAGATGTTGTTTCAAGAGCATGTCCTAACTCTGACTTAAATTATCTGGTAATGGGTTGTGAATTTTTTTGGGCAAGTTACTAAAATATTGATTGGTTGACAGGATGCCTTTCCTATTCAAAAGTAAAGTCTTGCTCAAGTGGTTTTCGAAACTCTTGAACAAAGCGATTGTATTCGGACCCTAGGTATTTTGGTGTAAAGAGGGATTTGGGCAAGACCTATTATTAACGTCTTTTTTGAAGCCTTGTGGTTGGCGCTATGCGGTAGATAACCGTTGGTCGGCATCCAAGGTAAGTTCTGTAACAAAGCAGCAAAAGAGGGGGCATACCAAATAATCCGCGTCCGATTCTTATTGTTGTGAGGGCAGAGTCTCTTTGGGGGATTTCTAGATTACTAGCATATGACCATGTAAGCTTTTATTATTGAATGATTATTATGCTTCATTACTTGCTTGTTATAATTGTGATGGTGTATTGGATTGAGAAAAAGGGACGGGGTGTGTATGCGTTTACCGGACATTCAAAGCTCATATCATGTCAGGTGTTGAAAACTATTAGACCGGTTAAAGACAAAGCTGAAACATTTAAGGATGTACGACTACCCTAGGAGGATTAAAAACTAGTTTGTAAACG